GCTCTGGGTGAAGCGAGAGGGAGTATCCGACTCTTACTGACTAAACACTACCCCGTTGCTTCTCCTGCTTCTGAGCCTCGATACATTATTGATATAGAATAAACAATAAGATCGATCAATGACATTATAGGTAAAACGGTGTAGATAGGTTACAAGCGCTCAGCAAGTGATACTATACATTAAAATCTAGCTGGCTAGCCACACTTTTTCATATTTGTCTCTTTTTCACTCAGAATTATTGAATCATGCCATCCCAGTTTAACGTGTATCACGCGCTTTATTCTTTTGCGCATTAGTGTGCCGTTTTTGAAAATCTAAATTTGTTTATGTAACCAATCTACACCATTTTACTTAAAATATCATTGGGATCGATTATAAACTCCTTTCGATGCTTGAACACCTTAAATGACTCCTCTCGCCCAAGATATGGTAAAGTGTGTCAGACTCTTACTGACTAAAAACCTCCCCTTACCTGCTCTTGCTCCAAGTCAAAGCCGCGGTACCTTATTCTGCTTTGCCCGCAACCCCGTCTAATTCTTAGAACATCTTCTTATAGGAGTCGTAATTATTTTTACCTTTCTGCCGTCATACGCCATAATTATTACATTCATAATGTTTTATACATTGTACTACTAATGTTTCCTTGTGTGCCACTTAATGATGTTGAAGTTTTAATGCGTGCATTGTTAATATTACATGTGTGACATAATAAGGATTATTGATTTTGTGCTCCCTAGATGTCGCTAGTGTTCTGTAGTCTATTTTTCACCGTAGTTCTTTTTTTATGTTTCTAACAAAATTTGTTTTTGTTACAGGTAATAATTATTTGGAGAAATGCTGATCAAGAAGTGGAGAATTGACTGCTCTATTTTAATTAATCATTAAGACGGCTGAATTACTGTTATGGTAGGTTATAATAATAGAGCTCGGAAAAAATGAATTTTTGTGGCTGTTTGTATGATGTTAAAATAAAGTAATTAAAACTTAAAAATGATGAATTAAATAATAAATATACTTTCTGCCCAAGTTTATTAATGTAAATTATGTAAATATTAAGGAGAACTAACAGCTAATACAAAAAACGTGGGCAATAAATTAAGGCCCCTTATAAAAGCTTGCATTCCAGCGATTCTGAACTGAATGAGATCTAGATCTTTACGGGTCCAGAGAATTCGCTACAAATCATGTTAAAATTCTTACTCGATTGCACTATGTCACTATCTAAGATAAGTATTTATTTTTTAAATTTATCTCATTTTCTAATATATCTTATATTATCTATAAAAAAACCGTTAAAAAGGTTTGTCGATGTAACTCTTAGTTACTGAGCTTATTTTATTAACAATATTTATTTTTGTTTGGTATTGGGCACGTTTTGTTTCACAAATAAATGCCCCTCTCAAAATTGCTACGTATGAACGTTTTGCGAACGAGCGTCTAGAAAAGTCAATATCTAACATTGACATTGACATTCAACGAATTGTGTCAAAACTAATGTCAAACCCATCACATTGAGTTTTCGTTTCACTTGTTCGACTTACTCAGTATCTATGCTAATTCATAAAGATCTTAAATAAATACAAGATATACCTTTATTTTGCCAAGGTAATATCTTAAGAAACCAATCAAAAAGTTTTACCTGGAATCCATTTTGGATATTTTTAGGCCAGACACGCGATGTTTTTTAGTTTTATTTTTTTAGTTAACAACGGCTTTAGTGTTCCGATTTTTATTAGATACGGTAAGTTTTTTTGCAGGATTATTAATTCTTATATTTATTTGAGATTAGGAACAATATTATTATGGAAATAGCGAAACGTAATAATGTATTGTAGTTCTCATAACTTTTAGGCTTTTCTGTTAATATGACGTCAGGAATATTGTTATTTTTTATTAGTTGTGGTTTTTGCCGACACTTTCGAAAGTCATTGAATCGTTTCAATGTCTAAATTATATTCTAAATTTGGTACTGTATGTCCTACAATTTTTACGCATTGCCATTTTTTTCCGCATACATTTGTCTTCTTCCTGTAGGTAAACTAAGGACAAATCATATCTATTACTGTTTTGTATAAACGTTACATAAGATATTATAAAAACCAGAAAGATATGGGTATTGAGTTTATAGATTCTATTATAAAATATTATTACATTTATGACTATCAATATCTCATCAGATAGATCAGAAAGATTATTTTCACAATGGTAGCACAGATTTATCCCCTGCTAATTAAACGGTTCCTTATCTACCTGTTTCCAAAGATTTCCACAATGTCGTCTAGCATACGACATATTTTGTTGAACAACATTCTTTTTTCATAATTTTTCTCACATATTTGGTTACCTACTATCGATTTCATTAAATTTTTTGATAAACAAATTATATTTTCTGAAAATGGAACACCATCAAATGAAAGAGTCGTTAATTTAAAAATGTTATTCATACATCCGAAAAACCTTCAATATTAATGAGACAATGTAATTAACAATACTACAAGATTACATAACGTGAATGAAACTTAAATCTTCAGTGTGTGGGCAGTTGAATTGAGGCTATGTATGTACGAAAGAGTAAACCTTGACTTCGTTACAATACTTAAAATTGTTAATGGCAAAAAAACTGACGACCCAAACATGCGAAATCAAAAACACACAACTCTTTGGGTAGTCTGAAGTCCTTCAAATGATAGCAGGACTTGAGGATTAAATAACTGAGCACTACTGCATAAAACAAGTCAGTGAAGATTTATTATCAAAAAGCAAGTCCCTTGTGGGTCATAAAGGATTTAAGGATAGGAGATTTGAGGATTGAGTATAAGGATGGGGCCTCCGGTAACCGCACCCACACGGCGAAACACAATGTTAGTGTTGCTTCACGCCGGTTTTCTGCGATGCCGTGGTATCACTCTGGTCAAGCCTGCCCATTCGTGCCGAAGCATGGCTCTCCCACAAGTGACCTTGCCCTTTTGACACACTCTTAAAAATAAGTAGATTAACTAGCGATAACTTGTATAATATACTACAGTTACTACGGCGTCAATATATGGCGGTTGGAAGCCAAACCCACGTTTTCAGTACGCGGCCCAGGTCAATCTTATATACCTCTCAATGACATGCCCCGATGCATTAATATGATGTTATAAAACGGACAACTGTCACGAAAGGGACGGAAACTATACGAGACCAAAACACATGGCACAAACTAAAGAAGCCCAACAACCCAAGACTAAAACTAGAAGAAGATAAAAATCCTGACGCGGGACAATGACCACAAAATGGCAAACAAAGTTTCAAAATTAGGTGGTTAAAAACCGCCGCGGTTTTGCCCTAGTCCGAGACGGGCATAATAATAGAGGTTATAAAACATATATCTGCACAATGTGGGCAGACATATTGAGGCTGTACGTAATGAAGAAAGACTCGACCTTGACTTAGTTGCAATACTTAAAATTGTCAATGGAATATAAACCACAAAGAGTAATAAGGTTTTAACCGCCTACGTCGGTGATTCATTGAGTGAGACTGAACTGTATGGTGCTGTATTTGCAATCAATTTTGTTCTCAATGGAACATGTAATTAAGTTTAACTTTTCTTTAGTTGTTTTATTTTTGGCACACTCCGGCCTTTTTCCGCTTCGTCATTCACCCAGAAACGAGATTTCAAATTTTAAAAATCGAAGCTCGGACAATCCTGGTTAAATCCATCGTGAACAATACCTTAGTAAAATCATAATAATAGAATACAGTATTCTAAACGCAAGATAATAGATTTCCCGATAATTATTTTGCAATTTACATAACTCCAGTCCATGCGACGTTAGAAAAAGGTGTTTCTGTTCATAAAAGTTCTTAATAAAAAGGTTGGCATCGCATTCGTGACTGCTTTGGTGTTGAGGGAGTCCGTCAGTTCCAGAAAAATTTGAATTTCGAATTTTGTCAGGTGATGCCATCGATAATTAGGACGATACTGCTGCCTGTCTCTTGTGATTGGTCGCAATTTTAGGACATTATAACTGGTTATAGTAATTATAGGTAATATTTTTCGGACGCGGGAACGAAAAATTTTCTAATAATTGTCTGTTTCATTAAGGGCTGATTTTTCAATGGTAAGATAAAAGTTACCTGGGGAATAATTATGATGCTGTCGCGTTAGAATGTTTGAATAAGACAGCGACAGCGACAATTTTATTCATCAGATAACATTTACCTGACTATTGAAAAATCAGCCCTAATTGTATTTATTTCATGACATCTTGGCTTTTGTTGCTTTGAGTATTTCTATACAAAATGGAATTTAAAGGTAGGAAGTAATTAGTTTGATTAAGATTTTTTTGTCTCTTAATCATTTCTGGTTTTTATATTTTGATTAAATTACTTTGTCTAGTTAGTATGTATGACATTTTATTAGCTTGAAGTCGTAAATCTCCTTGAATTCGCGAGGCTGTGTATCCGTATTCCGTTGCCATTAATTTTCGGCTATTTATGCATAGGATATTCCAATTTATTCGTTGTTAATGAATGATCAAATTCCTCATTGTTACTTAGATTGACATTGAGTCATTAATTCATAATTTATTAATGTTGTTTGGTTCTGATGGTACTGATGACTTAGACCAAAATACTTGGCGGCCATGGATAAGTGGAACTCGTGATTAATAGATTCCAGGTTTTTTCTACTTTATCCTATAAATTATTCCCGGTAACCCCCCATTTACATCGTAAAGCCGTTAATTTATAGACTTCAAACGCTCTCTTTTCGGAATTGATCCCAAATGATCCACGAAACTTTAAAATTAACATGCTGTTTTAAAAATAGTCGCTTTTGGTTGAAATCGTAAGAACAAGCAATGGCCGGTCGCTGCGCTGGCTGCTACCAAGTTTGTATTGAGCCTATCCATTCAAGCCTTCGCCGCACACAAGCAAAGAACACGTAGCCACAGCACACACACAAAGATAAACACAGCGAGTTTGACACTTCGTAGCCGCCGGATCAGTTGGCCGATGCTCGGCGTCGCGGCACGATCGCTCACCGCCGCCATCTTGAATTTTACGGAACGCGGGCTATTTTTTTAATAAAAATAAACTAAACGTGTCAACTGTGTAAGTGTGTGCTAATGCTAACGTTCTTGTGGAGGTTTTAATAATTCCGTTTTGTTTCAAACACGACCGGTAAACGAGGATTTCGGTATTTACCATAAAGTTTTTTTTAACGTGGCATGGTACCGGTGTTATGTAAATTGCAAAATAATTATCGGGAAATCGATTATCTTACGTATAGAATATTGTATTCTATGGTCTTACTAAGGTGTTGTTCACGATGGATTGGTCCAGGTTTGTCTGTGCTCCGAAAGTTTTAAAATTTAAATATCTTGTTTCTGGGTGAATGACGTTCCGGCAAAATGTAGGTTACGGTTAAGACTATCATATTTTGTGAACTATTTAAATTGAATTCTTGTAAAGATGAATTGGCATTTGAAAAGAAGAATATTTGTTACAATTTTGACAGTTGATCTGACACTTTTTTTTGTCTATTGTAGACGGCTAGACTACAAAACATGCTTCGTAAAAAATAATGAAAAACTTTGCTGACATTTATAATATGTTGGTGACTATGTTATATTGAACATTCCCTGTTAATCTTGAGGATGTTATTATTGCGTTTCCGTTATTATTTCTGCATTTGCTATAATAATTTAAGGTAACAATAGCACCTATGATCTCACTGGCTTTACATTATTAGTCAGTGTTACCGTAAATGCGATATTTATAGGAAAAAGATATATTAATACCAAGGAATAAATTTGAATATCTACTATAGTTATATTATTTTTAAAAACTTAAAATGGTCTAAAGTGCCTATGCTTCTATTTAAAAAAAAAGAATATAAAATAACAATCTCTTTAGAATGTTACCATTCTTAAAAAAGTTTGAAAACAAAATTATTTTGGATTACTAACTAAACCTATCTAAATTCCTTACTACGTAAGCTAAATAAAGAAATAACAACAGTCCCACATTTCGTTTTCATTCAGCCATCTGTTCAATCGAAAACCTTTACTTCATTTACCAACTGAAGAAAAAAAAAGACGTCCAGTCTATGAACGCCATTTTTTGCGGAGTCTTATTATTTTCGGCTTAGATGAATCAAATATTGTTACAGACTGACGAACGGTAAAAAAAATTCTATGGCATGGTTTTAAATTTTTTATCTTGACGTTAGTGTAATCAAATAGATCAGGTCATTAACAAATTAAATTCAACTGTTTTTAAACGGTTTTATTTTTTTTACTCTGTGGTGTTGTTGTTGGCATTTGTGATGACTACAATGATATAGAAAATATTTTTTTAAATAAAAAATCAAAACTATTTTGAAATTAGAAGGTGCCAACGATGTGCATGTAATTTAAAATGTAGACCTGATTTATTTATTTATGTGTATAAGGGCTGTTTTTTCAATGGTTAGATAACAGTTACCTAGGGAATAATTATGATGCTATCGCGTCAGAACTCAGAATGTTTGTTTATGACAGTGACAACAACAATTTTATTCCTCTAATAACGTTTAACTGACTATTGAAAAATCTGCCCTAAAGTTCTTAAAATTTACTAGGTATTAAATTAATAAAGTTTTTTAGTTTTGTAATAATTACTAGCCATAAAGAATTTTAAGCCATACTGGTGACGTCACCCTTCGAAAATTTAAACTCATTTCTGTTCCTTTTTCAAAACATAGATAGGATACAAGTTTCAAAACTTTTTTTAATACACCTGAGTCATAGATAACGTCATTCGTTCGTCATAAACGTGACAAAATTCTTGTACTACCAATTCAAAGTATTTACGACCTTATGCCGTATGATTTAATGTGTTATTTCGCATTTATGTGTGACTACATTTTTATGTCTTAATTGTTAGTCGATAGTTCAAGCTATTTTCGTTCTAATTGTTACTTATTAGTTAAAGAAATAATGGATTCTACATACATTTACTAAATAACCTAGCAGCCGAAGTATAGAGTAGGTACTGCTTAGAAATGTCAATGTATGTAATTGACTTTGACATTTAACAAATTATGTCAAAACGTATGTCAAGTCGATACATTGAGTTTACTGTTTACTCCTCCAATTAGCGTTTATACATAAAGTAGATGAGCAGGTTCGAGAGTGATTTTATGAGATATATTTTTAACGTTTTGTTATTGTTAAACAAGTCTATTATAATTTTGTACTGACAACTGCAACTGAAAAATAAGGTCATCGTTTTAAATGTCAAATTTTGTCTGTGGATTGTTTTGTCACCGTCTTAATTGGGTAACTATTCAATATTTTTTTAATTAAAGTATACATATAGGTATAATGTGCATTTCATATATATTTCATTGGCCGATCTTTTGGTTATGTTTAATAATTATTATACATTTATTTCTAAACACACACAGCATAAATTAGTATCTAGTATTTATCGTTCTTATTTGTTCATATTTTAATAATAATTCCGTATTTAGCAATTAATGTTGATACTGTACTTCAAATTGGTGTAGGAAAATAATACCAGAACAAAGTCAAGGAAAACTGGTTAAACAATTGTAAACAACTGAGTTTTAGGTTACAAAATTCCACAATGAGCAACAAAAAAGTATCATTTATTCGGAAATAAAGGGCAAAAATTATGTCATCGTCTAATTCCAAAAAACGGAATATAGTGAGCAATTAGTTTGTACCGGTCAAGACTATATTTTTGGTATAATATCCAAAACTAGAAAACGACTAATTTTTTTTATAAAACGTGCTATGTTGATTGTACGAATAGCGACGTAAATCAATTAGAATTACAGATTAAAATTTACTACCAAGAAAAATAAAAAAACAAAAAGCCATTTTTGAATAATGAACCTCTTTAAGAGGATGATAAACTTGAAAATGTGTTAGCTACAATGTACTTGTGGATACACTCCAAAGGTGTTAAACATTAGATCCTATTTAAAAAATCCAATTAATAGCACCAATCAGAACGTTCCCCTAGATTAGTATCAACATCAAGATAATTTCCGATTGGCTAATCCAGTTCAATTTGGCGAGACCTGTTCAACTAGTTTGTATTAATGTTTATTTCTGTCTAATACTTGATTTTGCCTTTCACACCGATGAAGTATTGAATCGAGTCTTGTTGCCGTCCTACGCAGATCCTTAAGATACGAAAGGGTTCGAAAATGCAGGTGAAGAAATAAAAGAGAAAGGGAATAATGATAAGAATGTTTAGAATGACGATAAACATATTAATAAGTTAGTGGATATTTATATAGAACACAAATTAGTTCTAAGAATTAAAGCTATAACATTGGACGTCGAGTCATACAAAATTATTAATAAAATAAATCATACAATTAAAGTTTCAAAAATATCGCTATTCATTAAAAGAACAAACAAGTAACTATTATCAAATTCATTGAAAGCAAAGTGCATCTATATTCTATAGATAAATATATAAATAAAGGTGGCATTGAATTCACAGTTAATCTTCAACATGAAATGCTATCGACAGATAAGATATTCCCAAGATATGTTCAAGCGGAACTGTTTTGACGTAACGCTGACGATATAGACGAATTTTATAATAAACATGATCACAAAGTTTATTTAATGATGTCAAGTTTGTAAATGTCCAAGGACGTTGTCGATGTTTTTTTGAATTTATCAATGCATAATGTGTGATTCGTTCTAAATAAATTCTACTTAACTTCGGGAAATCGTTGTGTTTTAATTCCACTCGTACACAATTTTGACTAACAAATGAAAAGTAAAAAAAAATAGAAATTAATTTTGCGAAGATATGGAAACAATAGATGATGGAGATGCAAAAACTAACGGTGAATGTAGTGAAAGAGGAGTAAATGAGAAAGGTAAAACTGCGACAGAGCGTGCTTCGGTTAAAATATTAAAATACAATTAGCTTCAGTTAATTTCAAACGCGACGGCCGTAGAGGTGTGACAATGGGATATGTTGACGCTTGTCAATCTGCAGGGCTGGCAGATGTTAAGGAGGAACTGCATGACAAAAAATACTTGGTAATGTTAAAAAAGAAAAAGTGAAAGGAATTAAACGAAACTGTAAACATGCTTAAATGTACTTTGATGCTCAAATCTGCAATATATTTTTCGTTTCATTCGAATTTAAGAATCGATTCTTGAAGCCGACTTCGCATTAAATTGCTTTTCGCAAAATCCCATTTATTAAAATCAGAATAAATATCCAGAACTAGTTTCTAAAATAAAATCTGCTTCCGATAAAATCCGTCGTAATTTAAATTTAGTTGTCCTGATCTCATGAACGACATTCGAATGACCATCTTAATTTAAAATGCATTCGAATTTAACTTCATCTAACTCAATTGGAACAAAAACATTAATCATAAAGAGTCTTATACAGGTGTTCCAACATGCCTAGTTATTTTATGTTAAAATAAATATTTAATTTATTGTGTTGTGGGCTACAGTGGCAACCATATTTGCTACATCCTCTCACTTTGAATATATTATTAGAGGGCTTTGACCAACAGTTGCAACGGCAATTCCATTATACATTTTGGATTTCACCGGCTGTGTTATATTTTCTTTGAAAACTAGTGTTCCTTTTTGCGCCAATTTTGTCATGCTTGACTCTCATAAGGACAGAACATGAAAAATATAAACTTTTTTAGCCTCATATAAAAATACAATAAGGCTTTCCCCAACAAAATATTTAATGAGACAACGATATAACAATGTAAGTGGAAGCAACGAAGTGTGACCCTTTTAAACACCATAATGATACGATAATCAGTTTTCGCATGTCAATCTCCCATCTCGACGTAAGAAAGTATGGAAGAACTATGGAAAACTTCCCACGTGCCTTACTCGTAGCATAAAAAAGAAAGTTAGGTAATAAAGACAACATCATTCTAGCTCAGACTTAGCTGGCTTCTTTGGAATTAGATAAGTAAACTAGATTAACAATAGCTGTCCCCTCAGCATGTCTAAGTTTAAGTGGCAAATCAGTAGATCAAGCCAATACTACTGTCGAATTTAGCAGGAAGAATATGGCTTCAAATCTTGCACTTAATA